TTTTTCCCTGATGTAATTAGCATAAAATGCAGTGCCATCGAATGCACCTTTTTTCGTCAGTTGCCATCATAAACTGCCATTCTGAGAGGTTATGCGACTCACGTCGGTTTGTCGTTTAGTCTTCTGAAGCCTTGCGTCCGATTCTTTCAAAAACCACAAAAGACCGAGAACACATCTCACACACACAGAGAACGGAATAAGCAATAGTTTGTTGATAGAGTCGCTGGCTAGCTTATCATTGGTTGAGGAAGTCGATTGTGCTTTGCCTCAAGGTCGCCGATCGACTCCTCTCGGCAGTCAACCTGGACGCCATCGACGATGTCCTCTTCACCGTCACTGCCGGACTGTCCAGTCTCCGCAGGCGACGTGCTCCCTCGGCCGACGGAGACACCCACACGGCCGCACCCAATGAAGCCGGTGGTTTCGGCGCCTTCATTGTCCAGTACCTCTTCGCGCTCGTCTGCCTTTGTAAGCCGTGAAATTGTGCTAAATTCCTGTCGCTCAGGTTCCAGGATAAGTGCGATTTTAATCAGTTTTCTTGGGTAACTCGTTGCTACGTTCGTGGACTCGGCAACAAATGAACTTCGATGAGGTCAAATTGTTACTAATGTGGTTAGCAACTAGGCGTGTCTGCGTGCTTACACTGCTCCTGTTAGTTGATCGCACATTCCGTGTGTGTGTGTGACCTACGCGCCATCGTTCTGACCATCTTCCACGTTGTTGGTCAGAACGATGGCGCTACGCTGAAATGTATATCTGAAAAAAGCTAAAATCGTTTTTGTTTTTGGGGTGTAAAGGACTCTAAATTATTGCTGATGTGTTTGAACCTTCTCGTATCGTGAATTGGTACTACGAGGTACTGAATTAAGCAATCAATGCAGTGTTTGTCATGCGGATATGCCAATTAGTAAACCAATGGCATTCAAATGGAATAAGTTAGCTTAACACTTAACAGTACTTACTAGCACCGATGACTTTAGTGCATCGTAAAATTTAGTGGCCAACTTGAGGTCTGGTTAAATTGCCTAGAAAGGAGAGCTCCTAGTGGAATGAGTATTTGTAAATGCAGTGCGTGACGCCACCACAACCACCTTCTCCTCTACCACCACCCCTTCCACCGCCGCCTCCTTCACCACCTCTACCGCCTTCTCCGCCACCTCCACCACCACCATCTCCCCCTCTACCACCACCTCCCCTATATCGAAAGTGCGGAAGAACAATCCTCTTTGTTCTTGATGATGAATTACACTAAACTAGCGCTTTGTAAATTCACATTCGATGACTGTATTGCATCGTAAAATTTAGTGATCAATTTGAGGTCTGGTTAAATTGCCTAGAAAGGAGAGCCTCTAGTCGAACGAATACTTGTGAATGCGGTGCGTGACACCACCACCACCACCGCCGCCTTCTCTACCACCAACTCTTCCATCGCCCCCTCCTCACCACCTTTACCGCCTTCTCCGCCACCTCCTCCTCCTCCTCCACCACCACCATTCCCTCCACCATCACCTCCCTTATATCGAAAGTGCGGAAGAACAATCTTCTTTATTCTTGATGCTGGATTACAGTAAACTAGCGCTTTGTAAATTCATATTCGTGTTTTTTTTGAGCCTGCATTTGCTAAAAGTAATCCTATTGAGCTTGTCGTAAGGTACTTTTTCTTCAAAAATCTACAAAGCCACACTCAAACCACGCACTGCCAAAACAGCCTTAGGTATTTATCAAAGAATCGAGTGACTACCTGCACTTTTGGCTGTCGCTGTTGTGGAGTTGTTTGCCAGCACAAGGCCAGCTGTTGGGGAGAGGGGCTGTATTGCATGGTTCGCTTATGCCTTGTCACATTCCTCCCTTGTGTGTTAGTTTGCTTAATGTCGCGTCGTTGGTGGCAGCGGTGGTGTGCATTTCTTGTTGGTTTTCATTCCCCTCGCAGCCGCACACTGCCTCCTGCTCTTGGCCCAGGTAACCACCCTGAATGTCGCCTTCAACTCGCAGAATCGATCGCTCCTCACCGTCATCATCTCAAACAACGTGAGTTCTCTGATCCTTGGGCTCTCATTTTGGCAAATTTCATTGTCACCTGCACCAAATCACTTTGTCACGACCTCATGGAGACAGGTGCTTGATGGGTGCGCCGAGCGTGAATGAACGCGTAGTGTAAACAGCACTTGTGTGCTTGTCGATTAGCCGACAAACTGATGGGGCGACGCACAGAGCCCTGTACGCGAAGTAAACAAATTTGAAATGGCGCCAAGGTGCCAATCAGCACAGGAAAACGAGGGGCGCAGATTCGGATAGTTACTGCTTCTCAACTATTGAAAGTGAATGTCATTACATGTGTTTATGTGTACTGTCGGGTTGATTGGCCATTCAGCTAAAATTGATGGTTTTTTTCGGAATCCGACATGACCTTGATCTGACCAATAGAAGACAATCGATCAAGGGGGTTTCAGAATCACCATTTCGGTGCACTGATAAGTGCTAGCATCAAACGCTTTCTGTTTACCAAATATCCGTCTTATGCACCATCTGCAACTACAAAACGCTTTAACCTTCGTACGCGGATGCTCCAATTTCCACAATTTCATTCAATCAATCATTTTGTGTGGGCGTGTTTTACCAGTTCATTTGGCCTCTCCCTTCTCTGCAGTTTGTAGAATTGAAGGGCAACGTCTTCAGGAAGATGGGCAAGTCGAATTTGTTCCAAATAGCCTGCGCTGACGTGCGCGAACGCTTCCACTACACAGTCTGGCTCTTCATCATCGTCTGCCGCAACATGTCCGCCAGCGGCTGGCAGTACGGTGAGCAGTCTTTCGTCTTAATCTCAATACATTAGAGCCACGTACGTAGCTAGCACAAAAACGCTCCAGTCGTCACTGTAAAAAGAGGTCCACACGAGATAATCTCACTTTTCGCATTGACTTCTAGTTCCACTTTTCTGCAAACAGATCCAGAGATTTAAATTAGCCGTGCAAATAGTCGTAGAGAGAGAGACGGATCTTTTGTGTGCCCGACTACGTCACGTTTATCGATTTTTTATGTGTGTTTTGTCAACTCAGAGGACTTCCTTGCCCTCCTCCCGGACATCCTGCTCATCTTTCTGGCCGAGGTAGCAGTGGATTGGATAAAACACGCCTTCATCTCCAAGTTCAACGTTATTGCCTCCGATGTAAGAAGTTGCCTTCTCGTTTCTCCCCCCTACCGTGACTTGGTCTAAAATTCGCCTAACTTGCCTGAACGCTTAGTTGTCTAGTGTAGAATACCCGAGCCCTAATAGGAATAAGACCGGTACAACAGAACAGGCTTTATTGACCAATCAGAAGCCAGAGCCACGCGTCTGGCGCCTTCCATCCGAGTCCACCACGCTGGCCACGCCGCTCAATATATACTGCTCCTCAGTCGTGTCCTTCTCTGGTTGGCTGCTTATCTTCCTCGCATGCAATTGGAACGCAGAGAGACATGGAATTGGCTGAGGCTAGGTGGTCCAATATGTCTGCGCCCTGATCCGTCGCCACGCTACCATTAACAACGACCTTGACGTGGTGTCGTGATTGGGCGAATCGATGGGGTTGAAATGTGCGGGTTCTTTTTCGTGCCGCGTACATGCACACAGTCAGAACATCGACATATCGGCAAATTTAACGCTCTGGAATCGACGAACAGCAAAAAACAATCTCTCACGGTGGAAGTTAATTGCGGTTGTCCTAAACAATAAGTAGGGCAAACAGTAAATGTATACACCAAATCAAGTCCTTACCGCTATTGGGCATTTCGAATCGTGCTGCAACAAAATCGACTTAGTAAAACAAAGGATTACAGCCGCAGAAATCGATTTCACTGCTGGATGGGTTGATCACACCGTATCTTCACCAAGAAACTGCATTGTCAATGAGAATGAGCTGCCCCACTTGTTGAGGTAATCGTTGACACTAGAGAACTTAGACTTTGGTCAGTAGTTGTCACCAGCACCGCCCTCTGTCTTGAAAGCTCTTGCTTGTTTTGTTGTTAAATTTCAGCCTAGATAACTTCGCCCCTGTTCTCCCCTTTAAGGTTTACGAGGAGTACACAGTGAGCATCGCGTATGACCTTCTTTTGTGTCACCAGGGCAAGGTGAGTTCCTGGCTGTGGCCTTGTCATGGTTACCTTCTTAGTACTAACCCACGTCTCGTGTCTTGCTGGCGTAGAACACCTCTGATTACTTTGAGCTGCTCGCCCGACGCATGGGTCTCACGCCGATCTCACTAAGCTGTCTCATCAACGTCATGATCATCCAGACCGTCAAGTCGTCGTGGATCTACGTCTTCTTGCTCCTCGCTCTCCCTCTGTGAGTCCGCGTTTCTAGACTGTGAATTGTTTCTGAATTCGGGGTGACACACTTGATCGCGGGGTCGTCTGCGACGTTAAAATACACCGTTGAATTCATCTGTTTCGTCTATAATGAAGTTCTAGGCTGTGGTGGTCTTGAACTGGCTTTCGCAGTCACTTTCCCTACGACCTTGAGTGACGCGAGCTGTGATTGGTAGAATCAGCGGGCATATTTGGCGGGGAGTAGGCTGTTTCGATACAGGAAGGCTTTTTGGTGTGGTGGATTGAGCTTTTTTGCGTTCGACGCCCGGCTGCCGGAAGGAAGCAATCGAATTAAAATTTCGTTTAACTACGATTCAGTACTAATAAACCCTTTCATAAGTTGTAACACAGAACTAGTCTAAGATAATTAGCAACGTAATTGTATTTGTGGCACCACAGAATCTGTCAGCATGAAAAATACCGATGTTATTTGGAGCTATTCGATTTCAACCAGCCAACCGTCGACAGTTTCAGGTGCTCTAGGACCTCGGGATTTACCGAATTTGCCTTCCTGAATGAGTTCTGAGCACTAGTCTACTTTAGCTGACATCGGTTGTGCTGGACGCTTTTGTTTGTCTCATAGCACCTCTACCGTCTTTTCCCCGTTCTAGGCTGTTCGCATTCAAGGTGTTGGCTCACATTGTATTGTTAAATCGAGCCTACACCCACGTGCAGGCCTACACCCAGATGATGACGGCGAAGCTTGCCAAAGAGACCGCGTCCACGACGGCCACTGCTCAATTCAGCAACAAGACGTCCAACTTCCCGAGCGGCAAAGGCCCTGCCGAGGATGACGCACCGAAGCGCAAGACCAGCATGTTCTACCCTCCCTACACTGGCTACGATCAGCCCACACGTGACGACTACCAACTGGCCATGCCTCAGCTGCCCTATCGACGAACGCACAGCGACTCCACTTGCATCTCGATGCCCCACGCTGTGAAGGAGGGCACTCCGAGGCTGCCGCAATCCTACGACCCTGGTGACACCGCGGAGTCGATCGATGAGTTTAGCTCGCTGAACAGTTTCCCTACCAACTCGGCCGAGACTCCAATCCACCAGCGGCCTCCGCCGCCGCCGCCACCACAGAAGGGCATCTTGAAGGTGGTTGGATGGCCGGTGGAGGAGGCCGAGGTCGGAGAGGAGACGGACTCGCGATTCAGGCAGTTCCTGCTTGATGCTGATGATATGCAGATTTGTCGCAGGCGGAATATCGGTATGCCCTTGCTCACATTGTGTGCTTGCCTTCTCTCTTTGGTATTGTTGAGTAGCTGGTTATCAACGGGAGGAATAAAGTCGCTTTCTTTACTTCGCGGAGGTATTTACCTGCCTGAAGCTGTTCCCTACCATTTTAGTGATACCGTCTTTACCATCGTCACCAACCGAAACGGCTGTGATTGAAACTCGTAACCAGGATAGATCGTCACCAACACCCCCAGCCACTGCATCAACTTTCTTTAAGTCGCAACCTAGCAACCCTCTATTCTATGCGCTGACTCTGCACCCCGTGCCGCTGACATCTTCACGAAAGTCCTCACCTAAGCGACATCTAGCCACCCAGCGCCGCCGATGTTTCAGTCTAGACGATTTGATGTCGGTTTCTCCGCACCAGGAACGCATTCAGCATCCGGCGGCTCCTGACAGTAGCTCAACGAATGTGGTTGGAAACGGTCGCAACCCTGCGCCGTTTAAGCGCTGTCGCCTGCACACAGAGACCGAGATTTCAAGCTCCATTATACTGGAGCAGCTCAACTCCGTGCTGAACGATGAGACGGCTCACCTGGAAGATGCTGTAGATGTTGACCTTTTGTCTAACGACGAAATCTCGGCACTGGAGTCCGAAGGTGTGGAGGAATTGGGCGCTGGAGACGGCGGACACGATAAGGTGTGGAACGCCACTTCATCCTCCAACACGTGTGGAGCGGTTGCTTCTGCAGACACGTCTATTATCGACCAGGTCAAACAGCCGCTCTCTAACGTCGATCGATACTCTATGCTGGGTGGACAGATTAGTTAATAGAAAATACATGAAACCTTATTTGCATTGTGTCTCAGTTTGTTTGAGTGCAGTCAGACTATAAAAGTTTTTTTTCAGTGTGATGTCATTTCTGGGGACTCAAACATCTGGATATATAGTTGAGTGTGCTATACCTGTGTTAGACATACAAAGGGTATTCGCGACTTAAATTTGTGTAATGCAGATGTCTTAAGGGTTCAGTTTGGGCTGGGAGTCATATGGATTTTTCGGTCAAGGGGACTCAGGTTGAAAAAGAAATAACCAAGCACAGATCTGCTAATTTCTATAGAAACGTGGTAAATTTACTAAACTAAGCTGCCGCTTCCATGACAGTAAGAAAAGTTGGTTGATTTTGCTCGTACTATCTGGCTTAGATCTTCTCCAGGAATTGAAACTGCAACACCTGGAGAAAGGAGGAACTCGCGGTCTTGGGTAAAATATCAAAATTAATTCATCAAGCACTGTTGAATTTCTTTTTAAACGCATCTAAACTCATGGTGGCGTAAACCGTCAATTTAGGCCAAGTGCATCAATGTCTTGACCACTAGCACTGAAAACATGTAGTGGATTAACAGCGATCGCGCCTGAGTGAACCCTGTTTACTGACCTGACGGTGACAATGACTCTTCCTCTTTTCATTGGTTACTGTATCAGAAGCCTGTCTTCCATTCACTCATACACACACTAAGACACACTTGGCTGGCGTGACGCTAATAAACGGTCGTGTCCTCTGTCGCCTCTCTTCTCTCCAATCTCGGGTTGTTACGGTCTGTTAACTAGAGGGTTGTAAGGTAGTGCTTAGACCACAAGCCACTACAAGCTTATCAAGATGCATAAAATATGACTTAGCAATCATTGGCAACATGTAGTGCAATTTGTCGGTAAAATCAATAGCTTTCAACCCAAAGAAAATTCGGTATAAGCTAAAATGAAGCTGAAGAGGGGTTTAGGATAGCTTGATTGAACTATGGAAAGGTTTTTATTTGCTCAAAGAACCACAAATAGAACATTGTGCGGTTTGCAGTCTTTGAGAAAATGCAAATTATTATAAACCCTTTTTGATAGGTATTGTCGACAGGGCCCCCATCCCGGGTTTCAATGCTTTTTGTTAATGAGGTTCGCGTTGGCGAAAAAATAATTAAAATTTGTTTGGCTGATTAATGAGGAAATGAGTAAAATTGATAATAATACCCATTGCGTCCCGTTAAGTTGTACTACGTATTCTTGTTGGTAAAGAGAATCTGCTCCTATTGCCTTTCTTTTCACTAACTTCGATATGTTACGGTATCATTGAATGTTTATGCAAAGAGTTCAAGTAGCTCAACCACAAACATTTGAAATTTCTTTTTATGGCGACCGCATGAAACAAACTCAAGTTAAATATACTACTGGACATTCTCTAACGTAACATGGATCAGTTTAAACAGTAACCTTAAAATATACGAAATCAAAAAAAGTGTTGCTTTTTTATACTCGAATTTATTTTCTGAAGTTATTTTTATCCAAAGGAGGTTTACTGCTGTTGTGAAGACGACAAATGATTGAATGAAATCCAAGTAGCCTTTAGAAGTCGCCTCTTTTTTAAAGTAACATTTAGCAGAAGATTTTTTCATGCCTAACTGTCCAGAGGCTTTGACGAGGGACTTTGCTCTTGTAGACTTGCAGGATGGACTCTTCTTTAATCTTAGGTCCATTCGCTTTTGCAGTCCAGCTGGCTTCCACTGTCCATGTCGTCGTCGCTTTGTTGCCAATGCCTCTTCAGATGCAGTAGTCCTAATTCCGGGCAATTTCTATGGATCCAGTGTATGGGACATTGGATGGCTGCCATGACAACTTTAGCTGGGATTTAAGGTCTTTGTCTCTTCTCAATGTGATCGCTTGACTTCTTTCCGAAAATCAGTCAAAGAGAATCATGTAATTCACGATAGATCTTTTGCTCACCGTTCAGTCAATATATCGTAAAAAATGAATGATTTCCTAACGTATATAACTAAACCTTTAGAAACTTGATGATGACACTGAAATCTCTTAGCACGTAAATGGAGTATGGTAGGGTGCTCTGTAGATTCTATTGGCTCACACTTTGTCAATTTGGTGCATGATGTCTGTGTAGCTATGTCGGGTCGGGCGCGTGCATATCGTCCAAGATTATTAAAACGGCTCGGTGATTTCGCCTTCAAGTCATTTGTTGTTACATCGATCTTCGGGGGCTGCAGTTTAACTGCTTACATCCTTTTTAAACTTGGGAAATATTACCTATTTGACAGTAAAACTTACAAAGCCCAGAGGAAGCAATACGCTGAAGCTCTCATAGAGAAAGAAAAACGCGAAAAAGAACTGGGACTGCGGGATTAAAACATTTTATGCCGCTTAGTCTTCGTAACATTGTCAATATTGTTTTTCAAAGGATCGAAAAAGTTAAACACCTCATGTCACTTAACAAGCGCCCCCATGAACCCGATTCCCCTTTGTCCCAGGATATTAAGGTAGCTAAAGTTTGTGAGTCAGCAGATGGTGGTACTCGTGGTTTTCGTAAATGTGCAATCATTATGATGTATTCTGGCACGGGTTACTTTGGTATGCAAAAGTAAGTTGATCTAACTCCTGTAGCCACTTGTTCTCTCTTGCTTCGCAATTCTACTTTTGCGCTTCTTTGCACAGAAATGATGGCTTCCCAACAATTGAAGGTGAACTGCTATCAGCACTTTACAAATCCGGATATATTACCGAAGAACATATGAAAAACCCGTCGATCGTAAGTTGCTTGATGATCTCACTTTCTGCTCCTATATACTCGTGTAACTTCTCACTGTTCTGTATTAACATTTTACTTTTTTTTCAGATACATTTTCAACGAGCCTCGAAGACTGATAAAAACGTTTCATCTGCCGGACAGGTTTGCGCAGCAAAAGTATGCCTTATTCCCATTTAATGCCCGTCTTTTAAGCTGCCGATTGACCTTATTGACATGGCGAAAATAAACGCGGCATTGCCCGAACAAATTCGGATTCTAGGTAAGCCTTAAATTGTTTTTTTAGTGAATGCTAGATATATTTCGTGTGACGAAGAAGTTTAGCCCTAAAATTGCCTGTAATCATCGTGTCTATCAATACCTTCTTCCTACCTTCGCCTTCGCCCCTCGAGACATCCTAACAATTAGGGACTGTTGGAGCTACCGTTTGTCTGCAAGCACCCTTACTCTGGCCAATAAAATGTTTCAGCGCTACAAAGGCACCCACAATTTCTTCAACTTTACCTCTCGCAGGTATAATTTTGGCGCAAAAGTACCTCAAATCGTTTTGAGTACAATGACCCAATAGTTTTCTTTCTTTTAAGAACACCAGAAGACCGAAGTTGCATCCGGTACGTGATGTCAATCGAATGTGGGAACCCCTTCCTCCTCGCTGGTGATAAGGAATTCGCCGTGATAACCGTACAGGGCCAGTCATTTATGCTGCATCAAATCCGGAAAATGATTGGCCTCGTTATTGCCATTGTCAAAGGCTACACGACGGAGGCCGTCTTTGAAGATGTCTTCAAACCTGAACGAGTAAGTAAGGTGGTCTGGTACTAGCTTACTCAACATACCACCACCGTCATGGTCTTCTCACTTTGTGGGGCTAGTCCCATTGTCGTGGCCTACTACTTTTCAGGTGTAGACTGCAGTCTAGAGTTGATTTTCATTGGTTGTAGCTCGATATCCCAAAAGCACCGGGACTGGGTCTGCTGCTTGATCGAGTCGACTACACCCGATACAACGCGCGATTCTGTGGGGATGGTAGTCACCAGCCAATTGACTGGGAGATGTATCGGGAGAAAATCGACGCCTTCAAGGACGCGTACATTTTCCGCCACATGGTGGAACGTGAAATTGAGGATAATTCGTATCCTTTTGGGCTTGTGCCTGGTTGTTTTCTCTTGTTTAGATCTCCGCTAGGTGCCCACATTGTTTTACTTGGTATCCAACAAACTAGTCTCCGAAAGTGATAATTCCTTGACTCTCAAGATTTCTAGGATGTTTGAATGGATGACGGATCTTGACAAACATACCTACGACAAGCGAGAAGATGGATCTCCAGACAGTAGCCCCAACCACACCCCCGTTGATAGTTCACAGCCTCCTGATGAAAAAGAGAACCGGGAAGTGGACTCAGAAGTAAACTCCGCCCCAGCTTGCGCTGCTACAACTACCACCACCGAAACCTAGCTGCACGTCAGGTCACGTATCGGCCTTCACTCAACTTTTTTTCTAGGGTTTTTCACCTTTATCTGCAATAAAACTTTTTCTATCTCTTTCGTGCGTTTGCATGAGCTGCCGACTCATTCTATGTGCTACCCAAAGCTGTGGTTCTGATAAGCCAGCTAGGTACTGTTGCCTCCATACTACTAGATTTACGTCTGCACGAGAGCATATCAATTTATCAAGATCTGTTTGCATTTTGAAAAGCAAAAAAATGGTCAAAAGAAAGTTTGTCACCGATGGATGATGAATGGTGAGTCAATGGCAGCGGTCTTTGTTGCATTCCAGGCTATTTCCAATCTCGTGGAACGAGTGCGTCCTTGGTGGTGAATATCAAGACTGAACAGTGGTTCCCGGCCCTTCCACCTTGTACACCGCAACGCAGTCTTTTGGTGGTATTTCAACAAGGCCATCTTGTCCTTTCGGTTGGTCTCGCGCGAACATTTTGCGCAGGCCTCGTTTTTCGTGCAGCACAGCTGCCAACCTGACTCCAAGGTTAAAACCACGGGCGGTAGGATGATTGTGAGCTGAGCGGCTGCGTGAGAGGAGGTGGTATAGTACAGAGAACGGTTTCTTCCTTACTTTGAGGTTGTTTCTATTTGCTTGAGCGGGTTGGCCGCAATTAGAGCAAAACCTGGCGCCGTCGGCGAATGTCATTCCGCATTGCAAACACATGAGCGGAATTGGATTTCCGCACTGCGGACAGAACTTGTCTCCCACCCCAACTTTGGCCTGGCAGCCCGGACAACTTGGCTCAACTTGTGGTCGGACAATCGAGGTGATCGTCCGCCTTCGGCCTGCGGTCTTCGATGTGGAGGCTTGCTGTTTGACGGGCGTCGCTCGGCAACCCGCCTGATGACGCTCGATCCGGTCTGGCGCAAACGTGCGTCCGCACACCTTGCAAGCGATCAGACCGCCCGTCGATGGACCTGGCCCCGGCACGTTCGACTTTCCACTGAGCGGTGTTTGCAAGAGCTTCAAGTCCACATCGGGCTTTCGCGCCTCGTAGGTGTGCCGTTTCGGTGGAGGAGGCTTGCAGTGGGCTTGGTGTGCTTTAACTCGATCTGCGGCAAATTTTCGGCCACATTTGGCGCAGGCTACGAGGTTTGTTTGTGCAGCTGCGGCGTTGTAGGCCTCAATGTTAGGGTCGTTGCCGGTGGTTTTGGTTGTGCGATTGTCTTCGAACCCACCAGCTGCACCCGAAGACGCGGGGTCTCCCGGAAATCCGGAGGGTTTAACTGGTTCTGGTTGGCGTTCTGATTTCGGCAGTTTGTTGTTCTCATCGTGCCATTTCTTGAGACATGATTTCTCGTGGATTCCAATTGACGCCGTGCCGAATTCGCGGTGACATATGTAGCAAACCACTGTCGGTGGCCGGGGCATGATTTCCTGTCTACCTGAAAGCGTTTGAACTGTTAATTTTGTAGGTGGTTAACATCAGGTTAATGTTTAATTAAAGCCAATGGCTCACCAGTTAGCCGGATAATAAGGATGACAAAATGCTCCTTTACAATCAATATATAAAACTAGGTCTTAAGTGAGAAGTGAAAGTTCGATTAGAGCGTATTTGATACTTCTCATTACAGAACTGTGTTAAACTCACTCAGCCAACTCCAGGCATGAGTAAGAAATGTATTCATGAAAATAATCATTGTTAGTGTAAATTGGTTGATTTTCAACTGAAGTACTTGGATGTCAGAAAACACAATCCACTTCTGTAAGCTGTAAAAAGGTTCATTTATTTGTATCGCACACGGAAATTATCAAAAGTATCTGTGAGTTGTATCTCGCAAGATTATGTATAGCGAGTTTAAACATTCTCAATAACTAAATCCGAGGGACGGATAGTGAACCCAGATGATTTGAGAAACCCTTGCGAATAAATTTGATTACTGGAAGTCCCGATGTTATCAGACCTGACTGCATCATCGCAGACAATGGTATTGAGTAGACAAGATATTTGGAAACATTGTGGTTCGTATCATCGTTGTGGAGCCTTAGCATTGTGACAGTAAATTAGGCCGGAAGGGAAGGTGATACCAACGGGCAAGTCGTTAAATGATTTGAAGTGAAAATGGTAAACGATGATGGATAGCATCATTGCTTCCTCTCCAGCTATCTGAAGGCGTAGACGCCGTCAGATACAAAACCAATATTTGGTTTGTGAAATCCGTGGTAAACACTGATGTATCTGTAGCAGATTTATCTTGGCACTGATTGCACACCAAAAGCCTACATCACAATATAGTTTGTTTAACCTGGAGAGCATCTTGATTAACCAGAACGAATGACCACTTAAATACAATATTAATTAAACTAAGCCGGAATTAGGGGAATGAACCGCTGTGTTCAAGTGTAACGATGACCATACTGCTTCCCTAAAAATAATTTTGCTCTGCTATAGTAAACGGCATTAGTTGAAAAAAGCTGAAGTGTACATCACATTAAAACTTCCTGTACAACCTGAAAAAAACTTTAAAAAACCGCAATTATTAATTTTTATATTTGTTAAGCACTATTTTCAGCCCTAAACTATAAATAGGATAACACCAAAATAAATAGACTTTTTGCAGTAATCACTTTTATTAAAAATAAAAATAGCAACCAATTACCCCGTTCAATTTCCCACGAGTAAGATAATGTTAGGCTTTTTTACGTTTCTCGTCAATTTAAACACGATTCCACAAAATACTGCCTCACTTGCTTGTAGTGTGAAGCCAGGAATTATTTTAATGTCACTAATTAAACATATAAAATTTATGTAAAAAATGGTTTATGACTAACAATTAGCAGGATTATAAAATATACCGACAAAGCTAGCATGTGTACAAAAAGATCCTATTTTTAAGCAACTGAACTATTGTTTACGGCTGATACAAAAGTAAAAATATTTCATGTTGGCAGCTTAATAAGGTAATTAAACACTAAACAATCCCCCTATTTTATATCGAATAAATTACAAAAATCAAGACTGGTTTTAATACAGGCTATAGAGCTAAGTATATGGTGAACTAAAACGGCAGTTTTGTATCTATAATTCACAAACTTATCTAAAATAAATTACAAACCACGTGGACGAATATCGAATCGCAATTTGGCGAACAGAAATCATTTTAACATTTATTGGTACTTTTCCGATTTTTAAAGTTTCTAGTTTCAATCTTGCCTCAAGTGAGTTCTCAGAATTTTTCATGACGCATACTTGTAGAATAATTTCTAACGATCACTTTTATCATATTTTCTCAACCCAGTGACAAGGGCAATTTTATTACATGGTAGTAGTAAATATTCATCCAAATGCATGACTGCTGAAATTCTCATTATTTGTCAAGCTTAAAATGCCCTTTATTTATTTATTAATCTGAAATTGGTCCGACTAGCCTATAAATTGCATTAGGTTTACAGCCAATGTTACGTCTTTGTGGATTTTGTGATGAATCTTTTTTTGAATTTAGCAAAATACGCAGTTTTCGTCCCTGGTTAAAAGGTACTTAAATGCAATTTTAATTCAAGCAGCACATTGTAAAATTCCATGTCTCCCAAGTGAATGTAATTTAACTTAAAATAGCTAACAAATAGCACTGACCCTTTTGAATTCAAATTGCACTGCATCGAAATTTCTTGTACTTAGATTTGTTCCACGATGGATCTGACCGCAAATAATACATTTGAGCCCTTATCAAAACCATTAGCCTTGACAGCTTATAAAATGGAAAATAAGAGGACGCCTGAAGGTACACAATTTTAGCTTATTCGTATTTTCATTTTAGTGACAATATTAATTTGACTCAGTTTTGGCTCATAAACAGCAGATTTCGCATATACCCGCGTTGCATCCTGATATTTTTTTCAAAAATTATTGGCATTAAGACATTCACCTCCCAGACAGAAATAAATACAAGGCCGTAGCTGATTCTACGGTTAGAAGTCCCACATGTAGGCGAACTCAGTCGTTTTGGAAACTCAGGCTCTTACGGATAAACGCCGTGTTGGTATAAATGCAGGTACGTATGTCAGCACCCCTTCACAAACAATCTGCCACAGTGCAATGTCGATTTTCATTCTAAATCAACATCTCAGCATTGTTACGGTGTCAACATAGGTTAGACCCTGTACCAGCATGAACAGGCATCACAAATGGGATTTCCTCCCAGCATAAATGCTAGTTAGGTGTGAGGGCGTTTCGACAGAATTCAGTGGAACACGACGATGAAGGTATGTTGACAGAGAACAAGGAGATACTTAAAACAATTACAAAAGTAACGACTACAGTTTCAGATTAGAATACACCTTGAAGGTAATACTTTTGCATGCAAAAGACAACAATTGCCCTAGTGGGTCCGAACAAAGAATCAATGGTGGACGTGTTATTCTGGAGACGTAACGCAGACCCTTCTTGTCTGTTACGGAACCGTCGACTGCATTGGGGTGACTTGACTACAACCACGACTTTGAAGTGGTACATATTAGGATTTAATTAAAAGGACACGATAAGTAGTGTCTTTTCCTACAAATGGGCAAGGCGTGATTGAAAAAGAAATTGTGTACATGGGCAGGAGGAATCACAGGTCTTTGCTTTTAGGCGCACCATTATCAGCAGCCGAAGTGGAGGAACCGTTGGCCTTCTCACTTTGCTCCGCCGCCTCCTTTTCCACCTGCCGTTCCTCTAGAAGGTCCTCCTTCTCAAACATCTCCACCACGTCCGACAGCTGACTCGTGTACAACTCGACCTTTTCTTTCTCAAAGAGTTCAAACACCTGAAAACCGAAACGGACAGTAATACTGTGCATGAGAAACCGCGGTACACCGAAAAAAATCACACTTCTGACGACAACTTACAGGAAGGAGGTGCTTGAATTCGATTTTGCCATCGTGATCCTCGTCCAGGGCGTCGAGAATCCGCTGCCACCGTTCGCTTGCCTCGCCCTCGGTTCCAGCAACCTTCTGCATGCTCTGGAGGGAGGCCAGAATCTCATTGATGCCCACCACGCGTTGCTGATCCGCCCGAATGCTGTCGATGATCCTCTTCTTCTCCTCCTCGTCCTTCTCAACTTCCTTGGCCTTGACCTCCTGTGCCTAGATGTGGAACAGCAGAATTGACTGTGAATACGCACTAAGTGTCGTTCCAAACACACACCCCAATCAACAGGCACAAAATTAACAATCTACTAAGAGGACGTAGCGAGGCATTGTCATCTTGAGTCATTGTGTTGAAGAAACAAGCAACGCCATAGGTACGTACGGTATTTACCAAGCTCGTTCATCTGTTTACTATTGCCAGCGTCATATGCATGTTGGAAGGTCAAAGGTTTGTTGCTGGATGCACTTTAGCCAGGTCATAAACCCACAAAATTGGCTAGGAGCCCAATCGCAGCGCCGTTCAACTATCAAGTGTTGGACTGGACAAGCTTCCAACAAGCTCGACATCGGGAACTCACTTGGATCTCCTCGAGAAGGTCCTTCTTCTGGCCGCGCAATTTCTCCATCAGGCCGTCAATCTCACCGAGCAAACGGTCAACCTGAGCGCCGAGACGCTGAACCGCCTTCTCTGTTTTAGCGGCTTTCTTTGCGGCGACAACAGCTGCCTTCTTCTCCTCCTCCTCCTCCGCTGCCTCCATCGCCTTCGCCTCCTCCGCGTCTTCCAACACGGTCGGTTCCTTCGGCTCCTCCACGACCGGAACTGGGTGTTCTGCGGCGACGGCCTCCTTCGGCTTCTCTGGAGGCGTCTCCACAACTGGCGGCGGCTTTGCTGGTGTCTCGGCGGACGCGGTAACAGGTGCCTCCGGCACTCCCACGGTTGGAGCCTGAGTGACCACCTCCGCCTCCTTCTGCTGTTGTTGGCGGATTTTGATGGCCTCATCAAGATCAGCCTACAATTTGAGTTGAGTAGAGTATGGAGAGACGCACCCATTCCACAGTTTGTTTTCCATCTAAGTCAAGACATTCCGGATTGAACTCACCTTGAGGTCAAGGAGGTGTTCGTCTTGCATGGCCTTCTTCGACTCCGCGATGCTTTCGATAGCGTCCTTGATGCTATCCAGGTCCTTCGAAGAGACCACCGTTTCTTCTGGCTTCACAGCAGCGTCAGCTTTCGCGGTGGTTGGCGACTCAGTGACTGGCGTTGGTTCCACAGGTGTGGATGGTAGCACAGGTTTCACAATGGGCTCAATGCGTTCCTACGGCAAGAACAGAGTCAGAATGGGGTCATTTTCAACAACAAATAGAGCTGCACTTACAGGCACAGGCTTCGCGGTGATGGTTTCGGCGGTATCCTTCACTGAAACAGAGATGGACGCAAACTGTTAGCATACCAATGACCGGGAAAGCGCGTAATGTGGTGGTCACCCTGCTACCTCCGTCGCCGTATTGTCACAATTTCGCCAGACCTGGCAGCTTCAATTCGTGCTTCGTCGACACGGAACTACGTGAGCAAGATCCACACCTCTGAAATACGATGCCTACATTCTCCTTAGTAGTACCGTATTCAGATTAGTTAATAGCCCTCGTTCGTTGCTGGAAAGTGATCTGCTTTTGGGTCAAAGTTAACACTAAAATAGACCCATTAAGAGCCAACAACAACCACAGGGTCACTTAGTCGATGTCAGATCCGCGAACAGAGACAAAAGTCAGTTAATTGCGCTCAACACCAACTGCTACACACACACACACACAGCGGCCCTTGACTCCCGCTGGGTGGGTCAGGAAGCGGGTTTCACTCGGGTGACGTGAAGAACAGGGCGTGTGCATGTTTGTGTGTGTGTGTGTGTGTGCGTGGGTGTGTGAGCAGAGTTTTCGGCAGGTGACGTAAGCGCAGAGACCCAGTAGCGCCACACCGGGGCACCTTGAGACCCGGTGTGGCGTAAAATCGAACCGCCAAGAGGTCCGCAGATGGAAGCTGGGACACCAGCATTCGCTCCACAATGCGACAGGAGAGGCATCACTAGATCTTATTGTTTACACAGCGATTTTTCCATCACGTGTTGCACAGGTAGTTGCTACGTTCAGAGCGGGCGAAGAACGATGCTATTTGCAGCCCAAACACGGTGGTGCGAGTAAGCAGTAGGTGTACGATAAGGTAGCCAGCGACTCTATCATTAGACTATTGTTTATTCCTTTCTCTGTGTGTGAGGACACTAATTATTAGACCTAGAGATGTGTTGTCGGTCTTGTGTGGTTTTTGAAAGAATCGGACGCAAGGCTTCAGAAGACTAAACGACAAACCGACGTGAGTCGCATAACCTCTCAGGATGGCAGTTTATGATGGCAACTGACGAAAAAAGGTGCATTCGATGGCACTGCATTTTATGCTAATTACATCAGGGAAAAATGCTTCCAAAACACGGGGAATCGATTTGCAGTGTTCTTGGTGCCGACCTTGTGGCCTTGGAAACGTTTTAGAGGTGGTGACTTCGATCTTAGTGACCAGCCGTGCACCGGACATCATATAAACTTTGAAAAAAATCGGCATCGCAAGCTCTATTGGATGAAGACTCAACGCAAACGCAATAAGTGCTTTAAGCTCAAATAGGAGTCACCCAAACTGCGTTTACACCAAATGAGAGCAACTCAAAAGACGTGGAATTCGGGTCACCAAACGCGTTGAATGAGCACATGCCTTTCAATGCTACGCACCGGCAACAAGCAGTAGATGGATGGTTTGTGGAAAATCATGACGAAATGGTGATCAAATGCATTTTTTTTCGAGAATTCCAAACTTAAAAAAAGATCCCGGGAAATTCAGTACATCGACGAGAAAACAGGATATCCACGTGAAGACGGTTTTCCTGCGTACGAAGCTGGACATCATGGGTGTAGTT